CCAGTAATATTTGGGGTCACAAGTTTTTGCCATGAATATTTTGTGGGTCAGAAGATAAAAAGGTTGGGAACCACTGAACTAGAGCATGTGTTTGAGTTTAACTTAAATAAAGATGTTACAGCTATAAAACAACAACAACATCTTGGCGTTTAAGACCCTTCCACGTTCCTTTATTGTCCATCTTGTTCATGAATGTTTTTGTTTCAGGACACAGATGTGATTGTGTGGGACGTCATTAACGAGTGTGGTCTGTACAGGCTGAGGGGACATAAAGATGTCATCACTCAGGCCTTGTTCCTCAAAGACAAGAACCTCCTGGTCACAAGGTAACAGTGTTTACTTGATGCTTCTTGTCATCAATAGAGTATCKGTATATCAGGTGTCACTGCTGCAAGTCCCGTAGCAACAGCGCTTTACTGAAACCATTTTTAAGCTCATTGTTGTCGGTGCAAACCACAACTTCTGCACTGGACTCAGCTGTAGCTGCAGTTCATCCTGACTGACATCCGGAGACTTGCTGACGTCACATATTGTGTTTGGGGCGATTTTTAGTAACTCTGATCAATGCTATTATTAATCAGGTGCAGTTTCTAATAGCAGCTAATTATCACACAAACCATGAAATTAAGTTAAAATTAGGACTGGGCGGTATGACCTCAAATTCATATCACGGTATAAATTGAACCCCTTCACGGTAACGGTATATATCGCGGTAGAGAATTATCATAAAAAGTTAAGATAATGTAATTTTTAGAGCTTTATTTTGCAGAAAACTGTAATCTTAATTAAACCCAACATTTTTGCTTTAAAATCTGACTGCCAACAATGAGCTTCTGCCTGCTGAACTTATCATCTGCTACTCTGCTGCGCTCTCATCTTCATCATCATCATCATCATCAGAGCAGAAGCCGACTTTACATTAGCAAGATGGATTTATGACTGAATGAACATCCACATCTTTTTTTWAAATCATCTCTGTGGGTAACAACACATAAAAAACAAGTTTTTTTTCTCCGACAATTGGGTGTGAAAAACTACAGTTGTTAAAGCTTCACTCTGTGCAATGTGCTGCGAGAGGGAGAGGGAGGGGAGAGGGAGAGGAGAGGAGAGGGAGAGGAGAGGAGGAGGAGGAAATGATCCTGTGACACGACATAACTTTTCTACAGCGGG